ATGAGGAACCACTGTCTTCCCAAAAGAGGGCAAAAAAAGAAAGTAATTATTGATTAAACAAGGGATTCTGGGAAAAGAAGGTACACCAGTTTTCACATGAATATGTGCAATATGTGTATTACCTTTTATTCTAAACACACATATCTGGGCTAATTTGTTCAGAAAACTCTCTCTGATGTGCACACAATTATACCTTCCCCCCAAAAACTCATAGCAACATTGGATATGATAATTATGAGGCAAATGAGGGAACAGGAAGCATACTTATACTAAAATGTATTACATAATTCTGATAGGATTCACTAGAGATACGTCCTGTCACATTTTAAACTCAGTTTCCTTATTGCACTTCTCAGAATCTATTTTTCCTCTTTTGAAAACAGATCACTATGCTCTACAGCATACTGCATCTCCAGCATTCTATTAAGGGCCGTTGCAAAAGTGATTTTACTCCTGGAAACTTAACTGCAAATTTTCTGGGACTTATATTCCTGATTCTGATTTAGTACATTTGAGTCTTCTGTCATTGCTCAACATAAAGCCCCCAAATGAAAGAGGATTCCTAACGCTAAAGTAATCTTCACCAATGCTAACTACCAGGACTAGGGTCCATATTCATTTAGTGTGAAATGAGAATAGTTTTGTTATATTCAGATTTTTTTAAAGTAATTAATTTTAATTAGGTATATACATGACAGCAGAATACATTTTGATGCATTCTATGCAATTGCAGCACAATTTCGCATTTCTATAGTTATACACAGTGTAGTGTCACACCATATATACAGTACCTAGGGTAATGATGTCCATCTATTCCACCATCTTTCCTGCCTCCACATATCCTCCCTTCCTTCCCCTTTGCATATTCAGACTTATTTGAGCATATATCTCAATCTCTTTTCAGTTCATCGGGGTTTATGTGAATACTTCAAGGTAAAATTCATCTTCTATATTTATGTTACATTATTAAATGCATGCTGGATGGGATCAAATCTAAAATATATATATCATATCTTTTCTCCATGCACATCAAGCATATGAACAAAATAGAAGATTCTCTTCCAATAAGAGCAAAATTGACAATGGAAACATGGAACTTCAAATTAGGTAACTTTTGTAGTACAACTTCTCTAGAAAACATATATTGAAACTTTTGAAAGGATAACAAACTAATCTCACATGATATATATAGATATTCCACAATGTGTTGGGAGGATTGCAACAACATGTGGATGTTGGTGCTTGCATCCATTTTTCAAAATACTTTTGTAA